AAGGAAATATGTGATTGTTAATGTCATATTTTCATAAAGAACTCGTTTTTCTTTGTAAGTATCATCATATCAAGTGAAGAAAGAAGTAATTTAGATCAAACTAACACATCTTAAGCATTAAAAGATGCGTGTTTGAAAGATCTCAATCTACATATGTTCTAGAAATAAAAACCAGACAATAACACAATAAAACTTCATGAATCCCATAGAAGTCTGAATAACCAATGACTTAAAAAATTTCACCATCTGCTCTCATAGAAGCAGCAAGACAGGCATTTTCCTGTTACAAACCACGATGGTCAGAATGTAACAGAATGAGAAATTCAAACACCCCCCCCTTTCTTATTTGCTGTGATGGTTCTTAATAAAAACTTGAGCTATACAAACAAAGGGAGGGGGAGGATACTCCCCTGCCCCATCTCCTAATTGAACGCTTATATCCAGTAATAGCTTTTGCTGCCCTGGGCAGCATGACATTGCCTCATCGGCCACGAACAACTATTATTCTAGGAGGCCAGCTAGTGAAGTGTCCCAGTCCATCTGCTTGCTTTTCATGGGCTGGTGCTTTTCTTGATGTTGACAGCTGTCTTAATATTCCTGGGCCACCTGCCACATAGTAAATACTGTGCTCTAAGACATATACAGAAGTTTATCCCTCTGGTGGACTTCTAAGAAAAAAAGCTTAGCATCTCTAAATTCCACCTGCCTCTTATGTAAATGCTTCAGGGATCAGTACCTTCAGTGTAGTCTCATACTTTTGAGGTGTATAGTGCTTGTGCTTTAGGAGTTATAGTGTGATGGAGTTCAGGTTTTCCGACATGTCGAATAAGCTACAGAATTGCAGACTTTCGGTGGAAGTTATGGTGGTCACAGAAGGTGGGGATAAAGAGAACATACTGACAGTTATCTCCTCTAGTAAGCCTTCACTGAAACTTCCAGACTATGTTGGGGGTCCAGCCTATATATTCCTTTAGAAGAGTTCCCCTTCATACCTCTCTGCTCATGTTTCCTCCATCAAACATGATCCTTGAGGGAAAACAATTGGTCTTACTCATCTATTTCTAAGAATGAGCATGTATCTGATAATAGTTGGCACTCAAGGACAGATCTAAGTTTTGCGGTATCTGAAGATTTTTACAATTTGGGGAGTCCTCTTTAAAGAAAAATGATTTTAAAATAAAAAGTAGATGAAAAAATAAATCATGCATCTTACCAAATTTAAAAGGTTGAGCCCTGGTCGGTTTTGCTCAGTGGTTAGAGCATTGGCCTGCGGTACAGAGAGACCCAGGTTCAGGTCCCGCTAAGGGCATGTACCTCAGTTGCAGTTTGTCTCCGGCCCTGGCTGGGTCGTGCGGGAGGCAGCCACTTGATGTGTCCCTTTCACGTCAATGTTTCTCTCTCTCTCTGTCTCTCTCTCTCTCTCCCCCCCTCTCGCCCTCTCTCTCCCTCTCACTCTATCTAAAATAATAATAATAATAATAATAATAATAATAAAATGATAAAAAATAAAAGGTTGACTAATATTACAAGTAGAAGGTCTAGAAAGCAATAATTTTTTTCCCATTAACTCCCCAGCATACCTTTATAATACCTTTTTTCTTAGATTTTTGGTAGTATATACTGTGATAGACTTTCATATGACAATGATTTTTAATATTTTCTAAACATATAATGGAAAGAATTCAGTCTTTCCTGAAGTTTGTTTAGCTTATTTATTATCGATAGCAGGGCATGTAAACATATAACATATGTACTCACTCTCACTGTTTGTGTTACTGCTACAGGTTTGTGCCTACAAACAAGAATTCTGATAGATTCTATTTTACATGATTTTTATTTAAAAGTTTGCTACACTGCCCTGGACAATTTGGCTCAGTGGTTACAGCATTGGCCTGTGGACCAAAGGGTCACAAGCTTGATTCCTGGTTAAGGGCATGTACCTGGGTTGCAGGTTGGATCCCACACCCAGGTCAGGGTCATGTGGCAGACAACCAATCGATGTCTCTCTCTCACATCGATGTTTCGTTCATTCTCTCTCCCTTCCTCCCTTCCACTCTATCTAAAAAATCAATGAAAAATATCCTGGGATGAGGGTTAACAAAAAAAATTTTTTAATAAAAATAAAGTTATTAAAAGTTTGGTGCACTTACCAATATAGAAATTGTATACACTGCATTACTGAGCATGTTATAATTAGGAAATTACATCAATTAAAAGTCGTCGTTCCTCTTTCAATTTTGTTTTTTGATGCCTGAAATAATTTTCCACAGGTCACGTTTCCTATTGTACATTTCAAATCTTGTTTCACCTCTACTACCCACACGTTTTCAGAGTTAGGTAGTAGAAATATGTTTATATCTTGAATAGGAAACCTTGGTTCTATATCTTGGGTGGAATGCTGTGAGTTGCACAATGGATAAATTGACATTAATGCAATAACTTTGGAGACATTTAGAACCACATAAATATATCCCACCAAATCCAAACTAAATGTATTCCCAACTTGAATTTCCCAGCAGATCCCAAGATGCCCCCACTAACTCCAATACCAACTGACTCTAGGAATAATGTGATGGAGGGAAAATCCAGGTAGAAAGAGATTGCAGTCTTAGTAAACTGCAGTTAAAACATTTACTTTTCTAAATTTCACAAAGACATATACCTGTGATCACATTCCTGAGTTCACATTGCAAAGACGCTAGTGAGGGGCCTTGAGGCTTCAGTTTCCTCCGATTCACAGTAAATATGGTTCTGTTGGTCCTCACTAATTGTCTCTGAACAAGGGTGTGAATGAAGACAACTGTGCTAAATTAGCATCTCTCAGATTCTCACAACTCAACATTTTTACAGACTCCCTAATGCAGTCTTAGAACTGAGTATTCAGAAATGTTACTTTGAGTTCACAATGTAAGAATGTACCACATCTAGGAACTGATAAACATTAGAAAAGTAAATAAAACTTTAGGTGTCACTGTTTTATGGCTTTAAGCTAATTTTTTATAGACAAAGTTTCCCTGGAAGGCGGCAGGACACCATATGCATTACATTTCATTTAAGTGTTTTGTTCTGCCACAGAGTGGAGATTAGATAGTCATTGTTTCTTTCATGAATTTGTTGCTTTTCAGAAAGAAAAATATATATATATTACAGGTCTATATTTGGCCCAGTTGTTTAGTTTAGGGGCCTCTAATAACATTTATGTTATCTTTTTCGGCTGCATACTGTCCATTAGTAAAAGGGATTCTAGCTGAATGACTGTTTGCATCATTTTTACTATTCATACTATCACCACCAACACTGTTGGACATTCCTATATGCAGGACTTTACTCATCATGATTCTGATGCCTTCTCACTTAGCAAGAATAGTGGCTGCTGAAGAAATGTAACTATTTCAGCATTTTCCTTTTCAGTTGTTTTTTAGAGAAATTCTTATTCTTAGAGAAATGTTATTATTAGTTAAAACTGTAATCCAATAATAAATCTTACTGGCTCTCACCTACTTTTGTCCCCAAAAAGATTTGTGAATAATTCCCCCTCTGGATAAGCCTTTAGGGATAGGGCCTACTTTGGTCACCGTACAGTGGGAGACACATCTGGTAGTCATTTAATATTTGGGGGGGGGGGGAGAGAAATTATTCTCTGGGCCTTCTAGTTGGAAGAAGCAGATGCCTTCATACTCTTCCTTGATTTCCTAGTCTCTGGGCTTCCTGGTAAGTGGGCCTTTAATGGAGATTCTCCCCTAAAATAAGGTTAGAATTGGGGATTTATCTGTCTTATTCTAGCTTTTTTCTGTTTTCTCAGACTTTCAGAGAAAGAGGAAAGATTTGCAAAAGAGAACAATCTTGAGGGATAGTCTGGGATAAACCCAGCTGAAGAAAACTGGGCTGTTTTAACTCGGGTGGGTTACATCAAGTCAGAACAAATTAGGGTGAGTGCCTTGGGCTCTGCTGCAGTCAGTGGAAGCTGAAGTGTTTGTTTCTAGGAGGCAGTTGTAGGGTGGCAGAGAGACTGACTCAACAGCCACCAGAGGGTGCTGAAATGACCTAGAATTTATAGATTGTCAATCTACTCATAAAAAACTCTCTCCAGCATGCCAACGCCAGAGGTGGGATGACTCTAAGATACATTTCTTCCCCTCCCCAAGCCACAACTGCCTTGGACATTTCATTTTTATCTAATTTATTTATTATAAGGTTTTTAATGAACAAGAATACCGTATCACTTCTCTGATTTCTACACCCTTTCAGGAGTAGTTTGGCTTTAAAAACAAACCAAAACAAAACCCTTGGGTGAATGGGCCATATGTCTTCTGTAATAGCAAATAGGGTATAAAAAAACTAAGAAAGTCTATACTACTGCATTAGTGAAATAAGTCAGACATAGAACAAATACTACATGATACCATTTATATGATGAATCTGAAATAGTCAAATATATAAAAGCAAAGAGTTGGAATGGCGGTTGCCAGGGGCTAGGGAAGAGGGAAGAGAAGTATTAGTCAAAGGATACCAAGTTTCAATTGTGCAAGTCCTAGAGTTCTAAGGTACAGTGCAGTACCTACAGTTAACAATACTGAGCCCAAAGCCAAATCAGCTGCCGCCTAAACTCGTTTGTGCCGGAAGCCCGGACGGAGCCCGGCCGGAGCCCGGCGTCGCAGGTGACACATTCCAGGTTTAGGGTCTCAAATATGCGCTTCCAACCGGCACCTCGCTAGCTCCGGCGGACCGACGCGAGGTGGGGCGGGGCCACGACCTCTGGCTCCTCCCTGGGGCGGGGCGGGGCCGGGCGGGGCGGCGGGGGCGGGAGGAGGAGCAGCCGCGCGCGGAGTGCGTTTCGCTGGCACTTCTCCCACCCGGGATGGACCGAGCCACGCCGGCGGCTCGCGCGGAGTAGGACCAGCCCTCGCCGAGCCCAGCGGCGCCGGGCCGGGCTGCGGACACAGGACGCCGCCTCGCCCATTCCCCGCACACGGCCCGGGACCGGCAGTCGCGGCGGGGAGATGTCCGGCGGCCGGAGGAGGGGCGGCGCCCCCTGGCATAGCTTCTCCCGGTTCTTCGCTTCCCGAACCCCTTCCCGGGACAAGGAAGAGGAAGAGGAGGAGAGGTCGGGGACGAGCCACCCGCCTGCTCCGGGCCGGGGCGCTGCCAGGTGGGAGCCTCGGGGACGCTTAGGGGGGCCCTGCGCGGACTCGCCGGATCGGGCTCCCAGCCTGCCCGCCCGCTGCCAGCCCTCTCGTGCCCGGCTGCACGGGGCCCGCCACTTTCGAGTTCTCCTTTCTCCATTGCTGAAGTTTCCTCCTTCTCGCCAGTTCCCGGGCCGCACCTCTCCCTTGTCCTGGGTTTGTTCAACGTGGGTGAAGGTGGTGGCTCTCGGCCGGGTGCTTCCCCCCCGCCCCTGGCCCCGGCCGGCGCAGCCCGCGCTCTTCCCACCTCCCCTCCCCGTCCGGGGTTCGATTCCCGCACCACGCTCGCGTCTGCTCGCCACGTCCTGGGCCGAGCGAGTCCCCGGCGTCCCGCAGGCAGCAATGGGAAACAGTTGGGAGCCGGCCGCCCGGCCCCGGAGACAGCGCGGTCCGGGCGCCGCTGGAGTGAGCGCCGGGAGGTGAGGCTGCGGAGCGCCGCCGCAGCTGTGGTTTTGCCGGCTTGCTTACATTTTCTCAAAAACGATTTTAAAAAATTGTGACACTGAGTTCCCAAGACTTCATCAAAATATAGAAACCTCGCTCGTTTTATTTACCATTGCCCGAGCGTTTAAATGATGCCGCCCTTCTTTCTTTCTTCTTTCCCATCTGTCTTCGGAAACTTTTCCCTCCCCAGATTCCAGAAACCAGCACTCGAACTGCCTCGGTTTCGGTAATGGAAACGTGTCCCTTCTCTGTAATCCTTTCTCCTTCCTCCACCTGCTGTAAAATCGATGTTTTTATGTTTATTTGTTTTTGTTGGGGGGTGTTGTTTGGTGTGTTTGTTTTGACGTGTCTCACTGAAAAAAGAAAGGAAAAATAGACCCTTTCCCGAGTCTTTCATCTTCCTCAAGGAGGAAGAGGGGTTAAAGTAAATTTACAACTCCTTTTAAACTGTTGGTGAGAAGAGAGGCTTGAACTCCCTCCTCCCCCAAATTGCACTAGAAAAGTGTGTAACCCATGTGATTAGAAGGACAGGCTTCCGAAAGCTATGTTTACTTCAAATTTTAAAGACTTCCTAGAAGGCTTCAAAGAAAACTGGATAGGAAACAGAGCTGTAACTGTGACTGGGCTGGTTCCATTAGTATGCGTTTTGTGATTTTCCAGTCGGTTGTGTGTGCCTCAGTTTCCCTGCTTGTGGAACATTTACATTGTGACCATCTTTTAATAAAACCCCACATCTTTCCAAGAAAGTTCCTACCAAATTGGTAGACTTCTCCTGAGAACTTTCAGCTGTTATTACCCTGACTGTCAATAGAGAATTTAAAATTCAAAGTTGCACAGTAGTTAAAAATAGTTTGAAGTCTGACAGGGCTCAACCAGAATGTCAGATCTGCGGTTGTGGGCAGACAGCCTGTGGTGCCTGCTCTCACTGTAACAACACTAACAATCTTGGGTGATATGGAAGTAGTGTTTAAAAGAAATCTCAAGTAGATTCAGCAAACTGGGAAACTTGAGTCCTGTTAGAAAGAAATAGGTAGGCCAATTTCAGGTTCATATCAGAATTGTCCTGAAACCCTGCCGGCCTTTCTGCCCTGTTTTGGCTTTTAGGCACTTCTCAAACCTAATCTCTTCTCTGGAACTAACCACTCTACCAACCAGTCTGTTGTCTGCTTACCCCTTCTCATTGTCTCCAGGTAGGCACAGACTGTGAATTTTTGACAATGCATATTTTAATTGTGCTTATATGAACACTAATTTTGTCCTCATCCTTTTTAGACTTTGCCAGATGTTTTGGGGATAGCAGATAGTCCTTTGTGTGGGTGTTTTACCTTTTAAATGAGCTTAAATCTTTCTTTTCAAGGATATAAACACAAACAAAGCCCTTATTGAAAGTTTAATGAAACGAATGGAAATGCTTAGTGGTACCAAATGTCCTAGTAACATAACACCCTGGTGTTAACAAGATTGGAAACAGAATTGCAATTTGTCACTATGATCTTATTTCAAAATGAAAGGTTATTTTGGCCATTTCTCTTAGAGACAGTAAAAACTTTGTCTTAATGGGAGCCAGGTTTACCTTCTTGTACTGGTGATTTTATTTTATTTTTTTATTTTTTATCCTCACCTGAGGACATTTTCCCATATTTTGTTCAGATAGACTGGGAGGGAGGGAGGGAGAGAGAGAGAGAAAAAGAAAGAAACATCGACATGAAAGGGACACATCGAGTGGCTGCCACCCGCACAACCCAACCAGGGCCGGGGACAAACTGCAACCAAGCTACATGCCCTTAGCAGGAACCGACCCGGGTCTCTCTGGACTGCAGGCCAACGCTCTAACCGCTGAGCAAAACCCGCCAGGGCTGTACTGGTGATTTTAGATGCAGAGGGGTCATGCAGCAGACATGAAGTGCTTGATAGGTTAGGGATGTAAAGCTTCCATAGTGTGCTCTAAGTTATTTGTGCTTCATGTGCTGTGAACACATCATTTGAGTATTGAGTTTGCTGCTGTTCGAGTCTCATTAACATTCAGCTATTAAAGAAGCCTGTTAGGCCTGGCCAGTGTGGCTCACCGGTTGAGCGTCAACCCATGCACCAAAAGGCCCCTAGTCAGGGCACATGCCCAGGTTGTGGGCCCGATCCCCAATGGGGGACATGCAGGAGGTGGCCAATTGACGTTCTCTCTCATCCATGTTTCTGTCTCTCTCCTTCTCCCTCCCTCCCTCTCTAAAAATCAAAGAAATTATTTTAAAGAAGCCTATTAGCATGGACACTGCTGTATGTGTGAATTCAGGTATGGGCACTCCAAATGCTTGTCTGCACTCTTGAGTGGTTGGCCAATTCCAGAAAGTGCTTATATTCATTTACTTTAGCTTATACAGTGTTGGCAAAAGTAGGTTTACAGTTGTTCATATGGAAAATAATACAATAATTAATAAATAGGAATACAATAATTAATGTTCTGTTTTGCAAACTCACAAATGTAAACCTACTTTTGCCCACCCCAGTATGGAACCAAAAACTGCAATTGACGTTTTTGTTTTTTTTTTTACACTTGGGAAACTTAGAAGTTTGAGTTCTGTGGCTCCCACTTTGAGAATCGCTGCTATAATGTTTAGCCCAGTTTATGGCACATAACAGACTCATCGGAAGTGATAGGGGAGAACATGGAGGGCTTTGTGGTGGAGATGGTTTTAATGGGGCTTTTAGGGCATTAGTACTGTTTCTACAGGTAGAGAATTTAGCCAGGAAGATAGAGATAAATTAGGAACAGGTGTTCTAGTCTGAGCAAGGGCCTACAGGTGGTTATGATCTTTTAGGGACTATATACATGAGTGGGACAGAGTGAAAGAGGCGGTAAGAAAGTTAGATTGAAGCTGGATTATAAAGGTCTCTACCAGAGTGTTTGGCTCTCGAGTTAATGTTTAGAGAATTTTTGCAAAAACCTGTTAAGCAAATACTGCTACCATGTGAAATATAGAGGCTACCTTTCTTCTAACTTCCCCCGCTTTGAGAAACTGATTGCTCTACTCTCTTTGCCATACCACACGTGACGGACCTGTATATCATGAGCTCTGTACAATGTCTGTAACTGGGGAGGGGGTTGGAAGGTGAGAACAGCATTTTTTCAAGGGCTGACTGTACTTCTAGACTGGTGCTTTTACTTACAGCATCTCACTTAAACCTCACCTTCAGCCTGGAAGGTTGGAAGGCTTACCACTATTCTGACAGTTAAGGAAACTGCGGGAGGCAGAGTTCTGAGTGATGGACACTGTTGGTGTGTGGGGTGGAATAATTCTTCGTTTAACTGGACTCTTCTGTCCTTGGCAAGACATTTGGCATCTATGACCCTGCCACTAATTGCCAGTAGCATCCTCCAGTCATTGTAATAATCCAACACACCACCTAGGTAGGTGGGAGGGAGAGTGATTTACCCCAGATTATGAGAGGAATAGGTTCAGGGGTAAGATTGGAACTTAGGTTTCTCTGACTGACTCCAAAACTCTGATTCTTTTTCTTACATCATCCCACCCACCACCCTTCTGAGCTCCTTCAAAACACATTAATATCTAAGTCAATTGGACCTTTCTTTACTTTGCTCAAGGATGCGTGACAGTGTAACCCCACTTCAGATATATTCTTTGAGGCTGCTCCTTTTTGAGTGTCCCAATATAGTGTTATTGATGAAGATAAAATGCATCACTAGCCTCAAAGATGGGTGGTGTCTTATTTATCCTGGTGTCTCCTTTACCTAGGTCAGGTGAAGAGTGAATCTCTGTTCATGGAGCATTAAAGCACTTACTAGTGGTTTTCAGCTAGGGGTCGTATGCACCCCATCCTTGAACATTTAGAAATGGGGAGGATCTTGTCCTGGCCAGTGTGGCTCAGTGGTTAGAGCGTGGGCCTGCACACCGAAGAGTCATGGGTTCAATTCCCAGTCAAGGGCACGTACCTGGGTTGCAGGCTGATGTTCACTGGCCCTGGTCCGGGTGAGTGCGGGAGGCAACCAATCAGTGTGTCTGACACATCTATGTTTCTCTTTCTCTCCCTCCCCTCACTCTTTTCCCCCTTCCCCACTCTCTCCCCCCCCATCCCACTTTCTCTAAAAATCAATGGGAAAAAATATCCTTGGGTGAGGATTAATAACAACAAAAACAGGGAGGGTCTTAAATGTCTCCATACAGTTTGCCTCTCAATTTAAAGTTCAGAGAATGTTTGCTTGTCACCATAGCTGAGGGTGTTAAATGGGTGAAGCCAGGATGCTAATGGCTTGTTGTGTAGGAGGTAGTTTCATAAAAACTGTCATTAGTGCCCTGATGCATGAGATCTGTTGGCCTTCAAGTGCAAGTACCAACCATCTTCAGTTATATGAGGAAAGGGAACTCTGTACTCTGGATTTTCATGGTGACTCTATTTTCATCGATTTGAAAGCATCATAGCAGATAATGAGTAACTAGTTTAGTTGATTACGATATACCGGTGTGGTGTTGGAGGACCACACCAGCAGTTCATACCTGCAGTAATTAAA